CCTGGGGTGTTGACAGACTGCCATTTGTGCCAGAAAAAAGCATGCCCTGAGTAAAATTTGATCTAGGTACGGAAAGGTTTCATGGTGAAAGGTACACTTTTTTAGCAAAAATCCCCCCACCTCGAAATGGTTAGCTACGGGTTAGGTGGAAAATTGCTCTTACCACTTTTTTTCTGCCACTTGGCAGTTGAACAATAACCAGCTTAACATCAAAATTAAACACTTATGTTGACTATAACTATGTTTCAAACAACATTGTTTTGTCAAAATCAACCTGATGATTTATTGAAATCAGCAGTTCTGATTGAGCTTCATTTCTGAACTGCATTACAGTAGTTCTGGACCAGTTCACAGCCAGTCTTTCTTACTCTAATGAGAACAGAGCCATCTGGAGCTCACTGCCTTTCTTTTGCCATCCACTCTGGAATCTTTTGGGAGTTGAAACAAGTTGCTTAGTTAATAACAACCAGAATGCCAAGTGATCACAAGAGCATTTTGATTGTATAACATTTGGTGTCTCAGAATAATACACTGTATCGCATCATCTTCATGCAAACCTGTCATCTTTTTAAAATCTCCCTCAAGCCCTGACATTTCGATTATCTAATAACAACTTCAGGCAGGTTCCTTTTTAAATTACACGATGCTGCAAAAAGAAATCTAATCTTAAATTGGAAATTATGGCATTCATGTACGTACCTTCTTCCTTCTACAAAATATAATGTTTTAAGGCAATCTGCAAGCTTGAAAATTCCCCACAGCTTCCTATATTTCCTTATTCAGACCTTCAGATACTAAAATCTCTCAAATAACAGTTTATCTGGAGGGTACCTTGTGTCTTTATTATGTTCATAATGGAGACCGAATTTCACATAACATAATGAAAATCAGAAACTCAAAAATGAGTCAAAAGACTAATTTTCTCAACACTTTAAGATAGGTTTACTTCAGTGAAAATGGAAAACTTTTTTTTTACTTTGGTCTATAAAAATCTCACAGGCAATGCATGTTTAAAAGCTATATACAGTAGATTATATCTTAAATTTAGATAAACAGGATATTAATCACAAAATTTGCCTAACTTGGCCATTGCTGCAATCTACAGTACTAGTATGGTAATATGAAAACCACCCATCACTCTGGGACACATTGGTATTCTGCAAGGACCACTGGCATTAAGTCAACTCTGGTAAACCAGCTATCATACAGATATGAAACCTGGGCAGGCCACAGAATGATAAATTACACGTTAAGTGCATGATTGCATGAGTACTAATTTGCCATTTCTTCCCACTTTCACAGACACTTGCTTAGTTTATCATTCCTGGTGCAAGCTGAAAATAACAGCGACACACTTTGATTTCTTTACAAAACTAGATAGAAAATGCCATTGTTTGGGAATGAGATGGTTCTTGAATCATCAAAAAGATTGCCCTGTTTAAATGTGACATTGTTCAACACGTAACCATCACTATGACAACTTTACTTTCACTTGTAGCATTTACATTCATCCTATAATCTTGTCATTTAAATGTCAACAAATTTTTTTCAGTTAAAGCATACACATCCCTCATTTCTGTAACTACTTTAACTATCTTATGAGAACAATTACGTATGTAAGATACATGTGCTTTAAACAATATTGTTCTTGATGATTTTCTTAACACTCATACCACTCTTTTTTAAAAAAATGCATCAAAAAATGTTCATATGACAAGAGGTTATCAATAGGGTATTCCTATTAGCATACAGTACAAACTGAAACAACAGTATTAACATTGAGAAATGATGGCACACATTTCATACAACACAATGTCATTTCATCATATCAGTACCATATTCCTCAGGCGGCATTCCCAGACTTCTCATACGACACTTCACCATTTGGCCGATTTCTTGGCGTTCCTGGGCCACTTGGTTGCTGGCGCTGTCCTCCATCATTTGGTTGGCTAGCCGTCCCAATGAAGCCTACAACAATGTAACAAAGTTGTGTGTTAATCTTCTCTGTTTGTACTATAAAACTCATAACATATCTGAGTTAATACAACAGCATGCAGATAAAAGCAAACACCACTGTTCTACAAGTTTCTAAACAGATATTGATAATTAAGCAAACTCTTAATTAACAGACAGTCCAAACTGTAGGATGATTTGGTAACTTTCCACTATAAATACCCAATAAACATAATATACATTTAGAAAAGAGTGCTGGGCCTGTCTAACAAAAGAACTTCAGCAAGAAGATAAGGCAAGATAAATCAGCAGTAGCCCAATTAAATGGCAATTTTTGGCTGGTTTACAAACAAAAAAAAGATGAAGTTAATATATTTTAAATCAATACTTCCATTATTAAAATTTAAGTGAAATACTGTGGGTTTAAAGCGTACAGATTAAGACCAAAGTTTTAATAATATAATATAATTTTCACCTGAAGTTCTTTTCTGAAATAAAGCATTGTTAAAGGGATAATAACTCTTCGTATGAGATCTATATTTCACAATAAAAACATGTGAATAACTCGTAGAAATATAATATATTCTGTTTTACCACAAAAATGGCAGTTATGGCTATTATTCTGATATCTGAGCTTGTCTGTAGACCACGTGACCTCCATTGATGGCTATACTCTGTTAAAATCTCTTAAGAGATTTTAACAAAAAACCAAACTTTTTATAAAAATGGATTCATTGACCATTGGTAAGTATGGGATAATTGTTGTTTGCTCCAGGAAAATTCATTTTTGGCTGAAACAAAGAGTTATTATCCCTTTAACTAATCATATAAAGTAAGTTTCCAAAGGACTCAGAAACAAGGAATTGGATGGGTTGGCACTGGCAGCCATGTTTTTATAAAGAAAAAGCTGGGTCATATGCATTAAATTAAGGGTTCTGCAAAAATTAGTATCCTAAGTTTTTACACAGAATATATTTTCTGATCTTTTTCCATGAGGTTATACAGTTCAGGTTCATGTGTAGTTCTGCCAATAACTAAGATCTTCATCAGCAATTTCTGGCACCAACAGATTCTGTAAGATCTATGTATTTGATAGTCTGACACCACCCATAGTTGTTGGCAATTTTTAATAACTTACTGTCAGTATCATCTAGGCAAACGCATATTAAATAACATATATATTCAATCCTTCAGTGTAAGAAAGTGTGAAAGTGCACCAAAAAGATTCCCAGTCAGTTTTCATTATCTGCAACTTAGAGACCAAAATTGAAGCAATTCAAATTGCATACGTCTGGCCAAAATGCTTATTGCAAACAAAATATGTTTGACAAAACAACACAACCAAAAAAGCTATTACCTCGACATATCAATTGCATTTAATATTGTCTATGTAAAGCTTCTTCTATCTAAACTTATTTCCAATAGGATGAAGAAAAAAGATCACTATGAAAGCCACTTTTTTCCAATCAAACTGAGTCGAACCATCTCAACTGCCATTTGACCTGGATGGCTATAAGATGGACTGACCCAACTTGACTGAAAAAGCATCAAAAGAGAGCATACTTACTAAAGGTGGTGTGCCTTTTGAGGGTCTACAACTAGAAGTAATATCACAGGAAGCAGACATGGTTTTCAAGGAACGAGAGATCAAAGGTGTGGTACACTGTGCAAGAAGAGATGAAGAGAGAGAGAGAGGAAAAGATAGTGTTATTTACTCCACTGAGTCATACAAGTAGTGATTTATGCAGAAACATTGGTGCAAATTTAATACTACATTATGCTTACATCTGTGAACTCAAGCTATACATTGTATTTACATTACATACATTTTAGTTTGCTGAGATTCTAATCACTAATTACTGCATGTAGAAATAAACAACTTAAAAGGTTAATGTGAATTTTTTGTTCAGTTTGAGAGAGAAAATTGCAAAAGTTACCCAAATTCTATTAAGAAACATGATTAAAACATCTGCAGTTCTGTAGCACATCAGCCAACAGAATACCAAGCACATGTCAGATAAAGCAGCCAGTATGAACTAGGTTACATGTACTAATAACAGTTGACTAAGACGGGCACTGCCCTGACTGCAGTTACTGGAGACATCAGTAATATGGATAGGCATATGTTTGTGTCAACTCATATATTTAAGACATTTGCACAAAGAGAAATGGAGATGCATCCATTACCAGTAAATGAATGTATAAGTATTATCAATGATGTGTCAGCTGGCTCTTCAACAATTATAATATAGCACACAACAATAATTAAAAGAAGTTATCTGAGGCCGGTTCCACAATAGTGTTTAAGAAAAGGGTCTAAACTTTTAGATAAATAAAAAAATTGGCAAACTTCTGTATGAAATAAATTATTTATAAGATAAGTCCGTGACAGTTTTCTTAAATAAAATATTGGTCTGAAAAAGCCATGCCTTTCCTGTAATAAAATGGTTATATTATTTCACTGAACTTTTATATTAATCCTGATTATCCTGGGTCACAGGAGACAGAAATCATGGTTTTACTATAAGTTTTTTTATCAATTTTTGATCCTAAAAATGATCTTGTGAATCTGGCTGCTGTTGACATGGGGCCATTCTGAATGAGTGAGCGCACATGTACACCGACTCTATGTGGGACTTGCTGATTGCAATTAGTCTGTTTTCAATCTATTTGTGTGATCACCAACTTCTCTGTATTCTACACAATGCCAGGAAGAGACCTCTTAGTCTGATTATATTCAGCAAGAGTCCCCTTGGAGTTAGTGAGCAGTGGCTATTGCAACTTTACTCAATCTTAACTGCCCTCTATTTGTGACCTGCATAATAAAACTGATGTGATGACATGGTGGCAGTCAGCAGATTAATATAGGACATGAAACATTAATAGATTTAACATGTCAATACACATGTCAATACAATGTCCAATGTGCCACTACTCAGGACATGCCATGTATATGTGTGTGACATTGGTAACAGATGTTTGTGACTACACTGGCCATTTGATATACAAATATATTTGAAATGTCAGTATGTCTGACGTGTGGTGTGATATTACACCTGCCATACCGTAGATGATATAGGTAGCATCTGGTGGGTTTGTGACCTGTAGATTCCGATGGGTATTTCACATGTCGTGGAACACAGTTTCTGATACAGCCTGCCGTACGTCCTGATCCACATGTGGTCCCTTGTAATACGCATCTGGAGAATGAAAAACAAGTACAGTGTACTAGTAGGGATACAACTTGAGTACCACTTCATGCATGACAGAAGTTTTATACACTGATAAATACCAGCGGGAGAGATAGAGTTGATGGTTAATACTGCTATCTTTGACAAACATTCCAATTGCTTTATCCTTCACACTTTGTGGATTTGTTTTAATTTCCCTTCATTCTGAAAGAATCAGCTTTGGATCTTGCAATAATCAGACACAATTACCACCTGTACAATGAGAGCTAATTTATCCTTCGCAACATTCAGAATGGAAAAAAAGAGAGAAATGGGTGGGAGGGGGGGAGGGAGAGAATAGATGCAAATATTCAATTATAGTGAAATATCTTTCAAATGTTCAAAATTAGTTCTGTCGTTATCGCAGGGCATTTTTTTATCAAATGGGAGGATTTGATCTCGAACGTATTTCAACAAAATGGTTGGTGCAGGGGCAGGTAAAAACTAATCCAAACCTTAGAGAAGAGCAGTATTTCCCAATAGAATTTCCAAACCATTTTAACTGAGCTGGGTTAAAAAAAAAAAAAAAGAACTGACCGCAAATCAAGTGCACAATTTCATACATTTTGTCTATGTAAATTATCAATCTGATTCATTTTCAGTCATGTCCCATGCCACATGTCCTGGTGGGTGTGCAATTTTCCAAGTGAAAGCCATTAAAAGCAATCATGTTATCAGCATGCAATCACATTATCAACAGAGCACCTTGAGTCACAGGGAACCAATGTGAAAGAATTGAAAGCTGATTGATAAAAGCTCAGTAATAAACCCCCAGGAACACTGGATGGTATCTATTATGCATTATATCTATAAAGCTTTAAATTTATTCAGCCGTGTAGAGAATGGTAAAATTGATACCTATCAAGAGACCAAATGTTAATTTATCACAAAGACTGGTAAACACACTGTATGGGTTGGTTCATGTGTCTCTTCGCACTACCTGCATCCCAAGTTTAGGATCAGTCATGTCTTTAAAACCCTTTTACACTGAACGGCGTCCTTCCTGCATCCTTTGTGTGACCATGAAACTGGCATTGCTGTGGTTGTTAAAAGGAGGCACAAGCATCGCTTTAGTTGCTAAATGAATCCTCAATGATTGGCCAGTTGTCGGCACGTAAAGTATTATTTTTTACTTTCAAATGGGGCCGTACTACATGGACGTAGAAAGGACGCCGTCCAGTATAAAATGGGGTTTACCACAGACACCAGAATTCCCAGTAACATACCAATCAGGTGTCCTCTCTTTTAAAAACCAGCTGATATCTATGTTCAAACTTGTACAAATCATTTTTATCTGCGATTGGTTTTGAAATTACCCAAATTAAAAAAAATAATTAAATTCAAGGAACATTGATGAAGTAGGTTGTACAGTAATTAAATGTGTAGTATGTGCATGTGCATGTGAGCGCGTGTGTGTGTATGTGTGTATGCATGTGCATGTGTGTGAAGTGCACTTACACAGGACAAATGCCCAGAGCCTGCAGCCTGATCAATCCCCAGTAGAAGACGTACAAAAGTGATGAGATAATCCTTCACAAAGGCCTGGAATGAAACATTTAAAACTAATCTAGTTTTCCCTTCATCAAATATCAGTATTAAAAGAATGAAATAACTGTCAAAAGGAATTCATTACATCATTGATGTGTCCATGCTTTTGTTATGTTTTTCAATGTTCATTACTCCCTAGCTATTATCTACCATTTTAATTACCTAGAGAAAAGATTGAATAAAACCAATGATCGAATAAGATGGAGACTCAAAGTATGAAAAATCTTTATGTAAAACAACAGCATACTCAGATATGAAAAACCCAACATAATCCTAGCATCTGTTTTTAACTGCAATTCACCATCATAACCCCTGTTCTGTGTCTCTGGCCAAAGCTCATATTTTTCACTGCCTCTGCCAGGCCTGTAGACAGCAATTTCAAAAGGGCGTGGGGTGGTTCATTTTCTGAAAAAGTGGACCTTTTGCCATGACACCTTAGTGTACCTAGATCAATTTTACCCAGAGCGGACCTTTCCCAGCAAAAAGGGTGGTTTGTTTGACCCTCCTCCCCGGCTTCTGGCCTGTCTGTACTTAATCAAAAGCTATGACGCCAGATCACCTCAAATAAGAAAGAGGGAATCCAGACATCTTGGTATTTTGGAACACAAAGTATCACAACCACTGAAAAAAAGCAATCAATTTAATGTAACAGTAAACAATATTATGTCATGCAAAAAGATAATTCATCATGTCAAAAAAAAATCTTATCCAGCTGTGGTAAAATAATGTAGCAAGGGCTGAAAATTAAAAAAAAAAATCTTGTTCAAGTGCTACATGGATATAAGGGTAGTGTGTGCATGTATTAATTGTTTAATTGGTGGACTTCCAAGAAGATCATGGTCCTTAGCTTTCATATCAAGTGACACACTTATATTACATAAAAGTAAGCATGGCTTCCTAGTACGGCACAAAACAGCCCGTAACCAGGAGGTGCATAAGAATCCCATTTTTGCAAAGAAAGGTCTTCTCTGGGCAAAATTTTATCTAGGTGCATGAAGGTTTGTTTTTTTTTTCCAAAAAAAGAACCCCCCTTTTGAAATTGCTGGCTATGGGCCTGTATAAACCACTTCTTCTAGCTTCTTATACTGGTATGACTATTAAATCAAGTTGACATGCCAAGTCATAAACCAAATTAATTCATCTTTCATCCAAAACATAGCTTTAAACCACACCTTCTTCAAATTTCTGGTTTGAAATTGACCTATTAATCCCTCCCTCCAGTTTGTAAAGTCCTCTTAATGAACATATGTCTACATTCATTTATTTCTGCTATATAAAACCTTTAAGGACCACTCCATGGGATTTTCCCTCCACAATGAATTTTCCTGCGATACAGAGGAATTTTTCCTTTGCCTACTTTTCCTACAGATTTATTGCTTGACAACTCCTTGCACTTGGATTTGATGCTGTATTCCATTTTTAGTTTAGAACTTTAGTTTAAAATGGCTGCATTCAGAACGGGCCCCTTTAGAACAGCTGACTAACTAATGGCCAACCCACTAGAATATTTCCCCATCAGGAATCTATTCAGTGCCTATTAGCAGATAAGACAACAAGCGTTTTAGTGGGTCGCCATACATGGAGAAAACATATAAAAATATTTTTAAGGGAGGGGGAATCCCATGGCATGGCCCTTTAACCTGCATTTAGGAAGGTCACTTATAAATGACATCTCTACACAATTAATTATCTCTTAGGGGTAATTTTGTCTACGGTAGCCCTTAAGTGACCTGGCTTGGCAAACTACTCAAGATAAAAGCCACTGCTGTCTACTTAATCAGCTACATGAACATCAAACCAAGCAACTGAATGGTTTGTTCCCTGCTCTGGCAAAATAAGAAAAGCATTTTAATATAAACTGAGTATGACATCTTTATTAGAAATGGCAAAAATACATTTCTTTCCATAAGAAGACCATTTCAGGAAACCTGAACATTGGACACACAAATTATGATTACATAAGACTAGAAATGATAAACGTGTAATTTTGTTTTTCAATTTTTATAATTTACTACAATACATATCACATATAATTTATTTCTTTACCATTTAAAGTTCATATAAAAACACCCAAATGTTGGGCTATTTCATTTAAATAAAGGTGTCTGATCCCAGATGTTATTTTCAAAATGACTTTCACACAAAACTATCACCTAATTCCACTATTTCACCTCAACATTCCCAGATTAAGCAGATCAAACATGGCCGACCCACATTAAAGCAGAGCCAATTAATCCACTAATGATCTCTCTGCAGAGGTCTAGCAATCAAACCTCAGTGCCAAGAATTAATCCGTTTAATGGCGCATGTGAATGCAGGGAGAGACCATCAGCAGATTAGTCAGCTATGCTTTTAAGTGGGTCAGCCATATTTAATCCACAGATCTGTTAGTCTGCAGATCAACTTGTCCTGAATGCCCTCTTCTAAAGCCCCATTCAGAACAGAGGACTAACTAGTCCCATGGTCAAATATGGCCGACCCACTTGAATACTTCCCCATGGGATATCTATTCAGTGTCTATTAGCGGATTAGACTTCAAGCTTTTTAGTGGGTTGCCATATTTGACACCAGATTGCGACCTAATTCACAAAATTAACCAAAACATTCGTTCTGGCATGGACAAAGTCTACTACCCATAACTTAAGGGGTACTTACATTCATTTAGGACATGTAAGTCAATGCAAATATCACGAGTTGCTAATTAAAAGTTTCAAAATTCTAAATGAAATACATCTGATATGACTGCTGGACAGTTTGGGTTTCAGTCTCAAGGCAGATAAGCAACATTCACAACTGGAAACACAAAATTGATTTTTCTTTCTTTTTTTTTCCAGAAATTAATGGTGGATTCCAATTTATATTTTCATCATGCTTCCTATCACTCCCTGAATAAAATTGTTTTGGCTTTAATGCAAAATAAATGTCTGGCCTTGAAAGAAGATAAAAATGAGCATCCAGAACACCTAATTTAGAAAAATGTGGTATAAAATTACAAAGCATGTCTGCCGGCTGTCTGTCAATTTATTTGTCACATTGCAAGCTCTATTTCTGTATCTATTTCACAGTTTGGATAAAATATCTTGCAGGGTATATTTCAATCTATTTTGATGCAAGCTCTATTTCAGTGTGAAAATCCAATTTTGGGTAAAAACAACAAACTACAGCGTAAGTTCTCACCTGATAGAGCAAGGTATCCAGCATGCTGGCGCTGAACACATTCCCGGCTGCAAACGGCAGTCTGAACATATAGGAGATGTGGGAACCCCGCTCTTTTTCTTTCTAAAACATTGCACAAAGTACAAAAGATAAAGAAATAGTGTTATTGTGAATAAAAGGTGATTTTTGTTTTAAAAAGATTGAAAAATTCATCATTTTTACAATTCAAATTCTTATTTATAACTCATTGGACAACTAATTTTTACCTGTCACGTAATATAATGCACATGTATTTAAAAATACATATTATTTATATTAATTATAAGTTAATTATGAATTTCATTATGCACTGAGAAAAGGATAGACTGAAAATCAAATTGAAATATTCACAAAAAATCTGATTTGAACCCTATGATCCACGTTTTACCTTGAATATTCATTTCCTGGGAGGAGAACACTAGCCACTGTATTTCAAGTCCCCTCTAACCCTTGGACCAGACCATCCTCTGCATAAGGCAACTAAATCACCTCAAAAGAGGGGGAAATTCTCACTGATATTCCCCATTTGTGAAAAGTCCAAAATCAGATTAAATTTACGACTAAAAGACCTGCCTGATTGTGCCAGAAGTAAAAATACCATGCCTTTCTTGAATTTTGATGCATGTTGCATTGCTTGATTGTTATTTTGAAGTTTTCACTTCTATTTAAAATTATTTGCAAATAACAGGATAATCACTGCCTGAAAAAAAAATGAAGAATTTCTTTCCCCAACAGTATTTGTCTCTATAAACAGAGTTTTAACAAATCAACAACCAGAAAACAAGCAATGGTTGGATAATAACTTGGATTATTATTTATCTGCTGAAATCTCATTTTCTTCCAGCAAAAAGAGGGGTTATGAAATATGAAGTAAACTTATTCCACGTACAGTAATGAAACTTCACTGATGTAAGGCACATTTGCAGCTCAAGTTCATTTAATACATGGATGATGAAAAATATACAATTATTCTTTTAGGGCAAAAGTTATCAACTGTCTGCTAAAATTGTGTTTTCTTCCAGCAATAAGAGCTAGCCAGAAGAAAAGAAATCCAGAAAACTGACTGCACTAACAATAATGGAACTACAATACTCTGCTTTTAGACATATAGTTACATTTTATGCAACGTGAGTAAATCCTATAACAGTACCCTTTCAGAACAGTTTTCCATAATCACCACGTAATCACAACGGTACTGGTATATTTGGCTACAATAAATTCTTATATTTATCATCAAAGTTTATTACAAATTAAATGAGTTCAAGCGATATCACTAAACATCACTGATAGAAATGAAGTAAAGAGGATATGCTTATAACAGTATTGAGGTGATAACACATAAATCTAAAATTATCTGTTCCTATTGACAACTGCCAAGGTTAACATAAAACTACTGTAATAATTAAATGTAGAAAGTACTGCTAACTTTTCCAAGCTCTACTAGTATATCCATGCAAACATTGGTGTCTTATCAGGAATGAGACTGCATTTAGAGAAAAAGTCAGAAAATATGGTGTAGGATCCAGTTGGCTGGCCACCTATGCCAATTTCTTGGCTCATAAAAAGTCGGAAAACTTCTGATAATCAGAAAAACCTCTTCCCTGTCTAATGCAAGACATGGCCATGTTTATCAGCTGTCAAGTCATGAAATCTCGGGAAAGAGTCATAAGTTGGTGTAATTTAGTGAGATTATGCAACACGTATCACACTGCTAGTTCATGATGATTACAATTAGGAAACAATTATATAAACTGAATGGTTCGATGCTTTCAATTTGAGGTGTAATGGTTTATCGATCTTCCTAATATTACACATGAGGAAGTAAATCAGGCAGGAGAAGCAAAATGTATTTTTAACAGTTCAAAAGATTAGAGAAAAAAAAGGAAAAACTGATGAGATGGCAAGTTATAGGCAGCAAACTGTTGATTGCAAACACCTTGCATATTCTTCCTCTTTACATTTATGTCCTGTAAGCTTTAGATATAATGGTATGATTAGATCTTTTCAATGGGGAAATTACAGATATTGTATTTTTTAAGTTGTAAATTCTTAAAATCAGAGAGGCAGCAACTAAACTGAAAAGAAGTCTACCTTATAGTTTTATTCTATACAATAAAGGCACCAATAATGCTATACATATTGATATTTAATAGCTTCAAAATTATGTATCTGAGAGATTGATACTTTTTCTCCATTGAAAAGACAGCCATTACCCAATTTTTTTTTTATTTTTGTCATTAAAAATTAATTTTGACTTTTTCAAATGCATTTGCTGTTCAAAATAATAAAAATTAAAAAGGTTATCGTTTAAAATTAATTTACAATCTAGGAAATCAATAATTAAGGGACCATTCAGAATGAAAAGAGCCGAGTGCTAGCTAGGCCACGACCTAAATATGGACCTACATGAAAAGAAGACCGCTTAATCCTGTAATGGTCTCTGCCTCTCACACTGCTCCCCATGCATCGTCCCTTGACCAGTTGAATTAAACCGAGATTTAATTACTGTGCCCTTGCAGGGATGAGGCGTGGGGAGGCGTGTGAGAGGCAGAGAGACCATTACAGGATTAAGTGGTCTTCCTTTCATGTGGGTCCGCCATATTTAGGTCATGGCCTAGCTCGGCTCTTCTCATGCTGAATGGCCTCTAATTCACTATCTGGTATGGGTACAATGTAGAAACTGATGCAGTAATATTTCAGGTATTTAAGTCTTCCAATGTATATTCAAGGGAAAAGTAAGTTGTTTGTTTACATCTGTAAATCATTAAAAAGAACTCTATGACCATCATTCAGATAAAGTGGACTATTTTCAAAGGCTGCTTTAAAAGTAAATAGACAGTTGTTGCTATGAAAGTACAGGTGTTTACAAATGAAATGTCATATATTTCTTTGTAAGGAAAAATAAGCTCCTTGTTTACATCTGTAAAGCATTAAGACAGAACAACCTGATCTCCGTTCAAATAAGAATTAGACTGTGTTTAAGCTTCATACAGGTAGTCTTATTACAATTTAATTTCACCTCCTCAGCAGCAGTTGAAGCCCCATCCTCTGAAAGCTGTCTAAACTGTGGAAAGGAAACAAACAGTGATAGTCCAAAGGTTCATTGGTCAAAAACATATTTAAAAATGAAATCTGAAATTTAAGACCTGGGTTCATTGATCCGGTGGTTTACTGGTGTGAACATCAGTTGATTCAAAGTTCTCAAGTCCAAAGATAGTAACTGACTGCCAGGAAGTGCATATACCCACTATAAGCATCAAACACTCACTAAGCAGTTGGTTATTTTATCTACTTACATTCCCAAACTTTATATGCACTGCCTTCTCAGCCAGGCACAAATAGACAGAGCAACAGTTAAGCCAGTAGATTTTTAGTAAATAAATAAAACACAGATAAAGTAATGTGTCATACTGCTTGAACAATCACATACTTGCCTCGCAGGAAACCATGTGCACGAGTCCTTTCTTGACTTTATTCAATAAAAAGTCCATTAACACCAAATAATAGTAACTTTTGGTGATCCGTCACATCATAATTTTTAGGATGATGAGTTTTATTGAATATTTGATATATATTTTTTATCCCTAAGGCTATAAAATTTAATACAGGCAACAATTTGCTACATTATTTATTACTGTTAAAATGGGGTTACATAATAAAAAGCGACCTTGTTTGGCCAAATCTTGAACAATCGATATTCTTTGTTGCCTTCTTTTCTTGTTATGAATGGGACTATGAAAGTTTGTGGTACACTGGGATGGAGGAGACAAAGGTTTGATAGTTAGAACATGCACTGTGTTGGATACCAAATCTCATAGAGCCTGATGTCAACAATTTTCTAGGGCAGGTAGGGAGTGTATTGAGTGTGACTTTCCTGACCATATTTATCTCTCATAAAATAATCAGAATTAAAAGAAAAAAAAATCATATCAGCATGGGCTTTATTCTTATGGACTATTTATAATTCATCAGAGTTGAAACAGGTCAAAATTTTTTCAAAGCTTGGATATGGAAATTTAAAATGAGGTCTTTTAATTAAGGAAACTCAGGGCAACTGGTGGGACCAAATTTCCAAACTACAAAATATATCAAAATCACATATTAATAAAAAGACTGATAGCAAAATAGATAACCAACGAAAAAAAAATATCTGGCCATCAGCAGATGTTACTCATTGTGATCATACAAGACATCTTTAAAAAAAAAACCGAAGACATATTATCATTATTGTTATACAGGCTTCTGTTAACTAATTGGTATTAAATTAAAGAAAGAAGAAAAAGCTGTAATTACTTCCCAAGGAGATTTGTGACACTGCTTCTGATGTACATGTACGTATTTAGGTTATTTGAATCTTGACTCTGTGCCTCCAATTAATAATGTAATGTTTGAAGCATCATGATTCAAGTATCATCTGATTGTCACAAAAAAAAAAAAAAAAAAAAAAAGAGATAAAACTCTTATTGGCAGTTATTGCAGTCTATAGCTCAGTAGACAATAAATATTCCATCAACACACTGCCGCCATGTTACAGACAATGTTATACATTGACAAAGGTCAGACCAGCAGGAATGTTAGTTCTTTACATAAAAATATATTCTATATAGACATTTTAGTTTTTATTCCTATTGTATCCAAGTGTTGATACATTGCAAAAATCCTGGAAAAAAGCCTAATCTACTCATTGAGCTCTTGATTAGTGACCTTGAATCTGCAGCCAATGCAACGATTAAAAACGGGTTTTCTATCAAATATGTAATGAATGAATTTCAGTTGAAGATGAAAATTTAGCACTACTGGATAATTTAATATACACTTTAATCACAATTATCACTAACTTTGGAAGGAATTATAGTGAAACAGCTACGTTTCTCTCTTGTCACAAGAGCATTATCAAGCTGAGATTTCTGTGTTATTGTTTAAAGGGATAATAACTGTTCCTTTTGGCCAAAATATGAATTTTCCTGGAGTAAACAACAATTTTCCCATACTAACCAATAGTTAACGAATCCATTTCTACATTCAAAGTTAGTCCCTGTTTTTTTTTCTTAAAAGTTGATTTTATGTTATAATCTCTCAAGAGA